TCTTCTTCTTCTTCATCCTCATCCTCTTCTTCTTCTTCATCCTCATCTTCTTCTTCTTCATCCTCATCCTCTTCTTCTTCTTCATCCTCATCCTCTTCTTCTTCATCCTCTTCTTCATCCTCTTCTTCATCGTCTTCCTCTTCTTCTTTTTCTTCTTTTTGTCTTCCTCTTGCAGGTCACTGCTCATGCGCAGATTTTTTATCGGTAAAAAATCGGCCGATTTGCCCACTAATTGCCGCGAAAATCGGCCGATCGGCAAAATCAGCCGATTTTTTTCCAACTTTACAGAAAAAAAAAAAACGGCCAAAATACCGAAAAACGGCCGACCAAATCGCCCACTAACGATCCGAAAATCGGCCGATTTTATTTTCGGCCGAAAAATTGGCCGATTTTCGACCCATCTATGGCCTGCATTAGTGTCCCTTTTGCTGCCTGAGTGAAAGAATGTTTTTAGCATGTTTTTTTTTTTTTTTCTGAATTCTAGGACCATCCACAACAGTAAGCCAATCTGTGTGGCTGCTCACTTGGGTGATGATGGACCTTGTTACGGCCCTTTGATTTCCTTACAGGTTAATTGGGCCAATCTTTTGTTTTGGTGTACTATTCTGTATGGTTAGGAAATCCATACTTTGGTTATGAATGCTGTTAGCTGCATTCTTTTGCTGATTCTGATTTGGAATTGTGCAGTTTTGTGGTATCCTTCCTGCTCTTCAAAGTTCAGGTTTGTGAAGTGTGCGTACACAACATGTTTACATAATTAACGACTTATCCAAACAGAGTTTTGGGGTGATCAGCTCTTGGGATCTCATTGAAGATAATAGGACAGAATATAGACACAGTATACACCAAATGCACTGTGCACAGAGGGTATACAACATGTTAGTGAGCCATTTATTATTATTATACAGGATTTATATAGCGCCAACAGTTTGCTCAGAGCTTTACAATATAAAGGGGGGACAATACGGCAACAATACAGTTCAATACAAGAGGGATAGGAGGGCCCTGCTCCTTGGAGCTTACAATCCTTTAAAGAGTGTTTTTTTTTTTCAAAAACAATTGCTAAGTTAGCTGGATCTTAATTGTACCTTTTTATTCATTTTATATTGATCTGCTTTGTCTGGAGACACAAGTCCTTCTGTCTTTTTTCAGGGAACAGATTAGCATTGAACTTTGTAATCCATGTATCCACGTTTAAAGCTGAACTCCAGTCAAGCAGAAAAACACACAGATGGAATGCATATATGAGCGGTCTTACCTGCCTGTCTTTCCATCCAGTCCTTAGATTTACACAGCCCTGGCACACAGCTCAGCCCTATCTAGCAGGGCATAAGACCTGATTTCTCTCTGCTCTGATTCAATGAAACATCTTTTGTCCCTGCCCCACCCTGTGTCTGAATGGTAAAAGCAAAAACTGCAGCCTGGTGAGCTTATCTTTTTTGCATCTCTGCTCTCTCCTCCTATCAGCATGCAACTTACACTGCAGCACAACCGGTTGGCTCCTTGTGCTTTTCTTCTCTCACAGTCTGAATGCTGTTATATAGGAGATTGCTAGAGGCCGTTACCAGGTCAAATTCAGGTGCTTATATTTCATTTTTTTTTTCTAAATGCAAGCAGTAAAAGTGTGCTTTCGGAGAGTGGACACTTCTGTTTGTTCTTTTAAACTGACCTAACAATCCCCCCCCAACCCACCAGAAGTGCATACGTGCCTCGATCCAAAGTCTGCAGTGACTGGGGTTGGTTTACATCCTGTGCCACAAGTTCTCATTAATTTGTCTGTTTTAAATTTGACTAGGGTTCAGTTTTTATAAAGCAAGACCCCCTGGCAGAAGTTATTACATTTACACATTATCAATTATGTGTATGTATCATTGTATTCGGATAGTGAGCTGCAGCTATACCTGTAATCTGTACAGCAAATCCCTTCTCTGCTTCTAAGGGGCAGTTCACTGTCAGATGGAACTGTTGTGTATAATAGCTATGTTTTCCAGCCATGCCAAAAACCCTTTTAGTGAGTCTGGAATTTCTTCTCCCTTGCTGTCACTTTTCTTTTTGGTTTTGCACTCTGAATGTCACAGAGATCTGACTTCCGGTTATCCCTGAAACACAAGTGCAGTGATCACCATACTTGTAGTTCACTTCTATTTCCTCCAGATCCATATCCGTACCTCAGTATGAACATGGAGCTGAAGGAATAGTTTGCATGTGCATTGCACTTCAATCCACTGATCGCAGGCTTAAGTGCATGTGAGTGCATTTCTTATATTTTGCAAAAAATGGACTTGGTGTTCACAGTAATTGCCAACAGAAAGTAGCAGCATTTTAAAGAACAAACATTTTGGATGATTTTTGAGTTGAACTTTACATACAGTATACTGCCAATAAAGATAACGCCTTTAGCAGTTACGTTGTTGTGATTGCTGAGCATCTGGGAGGACTAGATTCTTCATCAGAATATTTTAGAAGTGTGCTCCATAATGTAAACCTGTGGGTATCAAAGACCTATTGAATTTGCACCTCTGGGTGTATCCATGCGTGTGTTGCTGTCCTGTAGGCTATCCCTGAAACCCAAAACACTGTTATTTATAACTGGTGACTAGTTCTTGGCCCCCACCCATGCCTTACAATTAGTGGGGCTTCCTACCACATTGCTGCACTAATCAATATCTTTTATATAATCACTTTAAAGTGGTATTAAACCCAAAAGCAAACATTATATTTCATCTTACCATTTCTTAGATGTGATGCTGCAGTCATTTTCTTTTTTAGGCTTTTTTTTTCTAGTGATCCAGCCAGTAAATCTGTTTTTTTTGTTTTTGTTTTTTTTACAAAAGAACACGTTATTGCAGATGTAGCAGTTAAAGGGATGAGACAAACCATTTACCACTGATAGGGGTGCTTACAATGGTCAACTTTTTATAGGTCTGTAAAACCTTTATCCCAAAAGATGAAAAAACTGTTTGCTGTAACTGCTTATGATGTATTAGCTGGAGTTTGGCTTAAATGTATTAATGTATTTAAATCTGCTAGTACATCTTGGGCTCCTTTCACACAATACGTCCGATTTTTCAGGCAGACCCAATTGGACCCTCCATTCTCCTCTGTGGAGCGTCGAATGTAAACATCCAATCCAATTCGCTAAAAACAAATGGAAGGGATCAGTTCCCCTCCATCTGCGCGGATCAAATCAGGGGGCAGTTGGAGGTAAGTGAATAGCTGGTCTGTTTACATTCGACCATCTATGGAGCAGGCTCTGACCGTGTCCGTTCTGTATACGCGGAGCTGATACAGGCCTGTCATCCACCTGATTCGCTCTGCTCAGAGGAGGGTCAGTGGGCAACCCCCCACTGAGCAAGCAAATTCATCTCCATGTGAAAGGGGCTAACACTCCCCTCCCCTGCTATCCAGAGTGGGGGCAGTCTAATACAGGAGGTGTTACTGGCCAGATCCCCAGGTGAAAACAAAGGAGGGAAGAAACTGTTGCAGTCACCATGTCTAATGATTGGCAGGGTGGATAAAAATCAATGATTTTAAAAAAAAAAAAAAAAAAAAAAAATCGGATTTTTTTAATTTAAATCGGATTTTTTTAAATAAAATGCTTTTTTAGGAAAATATATTACCATCCAAAGGTTATTCCATCATGAAATAAAGATTAGTTTTTTAATTATGTAGAATAAGGCTGTATATGTTAAATTTTTTTGGTAAATAAATTCCATGAATCCATTCACAATGTCATGCTCTTCCAGAGGTTTTTGTAAGATTATTGGGCAGTTTCTCTGCCTACAAGATATTATCACAGATGATTGGTTTACTTTGCAGTTCTCAAAACTGAATTTGACTCAGCGGAGATCACAGCCTCTTCTTCACAGCAAAAATGTTTTATAACATGAACAGAGTTAAGAAAAAGACCTTCATCCTAACTTCTACAAACCTATGAATACAGAATCAACCCCTTCAGTGCTAAGTTTCAAGAAGTTCAGTGAATAGAATAGAAACAATATTTTTCTGATTGTTTGGAGTGGAATAGATCTGCACAAGAAGAAAGTGAAGCTAAGTGTGAGGAGGAAGGGGCTGACAGTCTAAGTTTCTTAAAATATATATATTTTGTTTAGCCGAATTAGTTAACAAACATGGATGTTTAAGCAAATCACATATGCTGGAATGTTATTGTTTCAGTTGAATAAATCTATTTAAATTGTTATTAAGGTAATGATTATTTTTCTCCTTCCTAAGTACAACAGAAAAGTTGTCCAAATATGAATGATTAACCTATTAAACTGGGGATAAAACAACTAATATGAAAAGTTGCTATTCTAAAAATCTTCATCTACTTGCATATTAAAGTTATAGCAGCAAGAATTAGTCTTTATGTAGAAAACTAGGATTTAAATCAAGCCTTACTGACTAGTGATTTAAATCGTGATTTAAATCGTTTGAGTTAAATCAAATCCACCCTGATGATTGGTAAGCTACAGTACATTACATTTTTGGTTTTGGGTTTAATACCACTTTAAAGAAGGAGACTGTATTGTTTATATCTAACATGCTTTAGAACTTGGCCACAGACATGACTCTCACAAGCATGATGGGATTTGTAGTTTTATAACTGCTTGAGTGGCGAGGCTGCATACCCATCACTGTTGCAATAACTCATGGGACTTGTAGTTACGAAACATCTGGAGTGCTCAGGTTGCCTACCACTGTTTTAGAATTACTACAGCCCTTTGCTGAGTCTGTTAGCAGTCTGGAGCACATGGACAGCATTTTTTTAGAATCTCCTCTGCCCTCCTTTATTTCTACATGTGCATACCCTGTTAAAGGTAATGGCTCAAGAATTTTGGTGGATTCTAAAGTGCCGTATTTCCAGCAAAAAGTAAGAGCTGTAAATAGTTTAAGTTCCTATTCATGTTTAAAAAACAGTATACATTTTCAATTCAATATCATTCATTATAAGTGTTTTTTTTTTTTAATACAAGATTTTTTTTTTTTTTTCTTTACAGATGACTGGTTCTAATGAATTTAAGCTAAACCAAGCCCCTGAGGATGGGATTTCCGCTGTTAAGTTCAGCCCAAACACCTCTCAGTTCTTATTGGTCTCTTCCTGGGATTCCTCAGTCCGCCTGTATGATGTTCCTGCAAACACCATGAGACTGAAATACCAGCATGCTGGTCCTGTCCTAGACTGTGCTTTCTATGTAAGTATTTCAACAGCTCTTGTTCACTTTAATAGTTCAGCTTGATTCGGCATCTGTTTCATTCAACACTAGCTCATTCTAATTCTGACCAGTGAAACCACTGAATATCCCTTTGTGTATTGCAGGATCCTACTCATGCTTGGAGTGGTGGTCTGGATCATCAGCTAAAGATGCATGACTTGAATACGATGCAGGTAAATGTACCCATGGGTGGAAGTATCCCCAGATAAAATCTATTTGCATGGTATTACTAGCATTCTTTTTTTTTTTTCTTACCTCACACATGACTTCCCCTTATAACCTGTGGACAGTGCTCTCCACAAGAGGGTAGCCACGAAGACTGGCCCAATATAGTTCCCTACCTCTCGTTGGTAGATCAGCAGAAGGGGAACATCAGACTGTCAGAGAGTCTAAAGCTGACTTGTTCCACCCACAATTTAGGAACGTATAGATTTTCTTTAAAGTGGTTGTAAACTCATACATATAACCAGTATATGACTGGCCTCAGGTGATGCACATAGAGAGAACAATTTCTGCATAAGTTGTAACTGTTTGTCTGCAGTCTTCTTTTCTCTAAATCTGTTCAAACTGCTGAATTTATACAGCTTGTCTGAGTTTTCAGAGATCAGGGGGCAGGGAGCTGAAGTTACACTCTGCAGATCACAGGGAGAGCTAATTTGAAGAAAGGGACACCCCCGCCCTGCACACAGGAACAGAGCTGACGCAGGCTGGAGGTTTCTCCCTTGTCACCATTTTTGTCTTGACAGGAAAACTTGTCAGAAGTGACTCATGCTGACAGAGGACTGAGGGCAGCAGACAGAAATAACATTTAGTTCTCTGGCTTGAGACAAGTACACACTATAGAGGGATATGCTTTGTTCATATTTCATGTGTGAGGTTTACAACCACTTTAAAGTCATGATCTACTGTAAAGTTGGATGATACTTAACTTTACATTCCTGGGAACCTTCATGTGTCTTCCACTTAGCTCTGCTGATTCATAGAGCAGTCTGGAAGCCCTGAAAGCAGCTTCACTTTCTGGCCTGCCCCTTATGCATCCTTTTCCTCACTATTGGATCATCATCACAAAGTGTGACCTCCATAACCAACAAAGAGGGATGGTGGAAGGGGCTGGCCAGAGCTACATTAGTATATTAGTCACTCTTTGCAACAGAGTTCTCTACGTTTTAAGTGAGTGGCACGATCTCAGAGAAATCTAGAGAAATTGCACTGGCCCAGTATACAATGTAAATGCCACTTTAATTGGTATATTTTGTCCACTGCTTTGGTTTTAGGTTATATACACATGTGAAATGTATGTTTTTTTTGCTGTGCTTTGAGTGTGTTTGTTATTTGGCTTATCACATGGGTTTTAAATCAATGAACACAGTTTAGCTTGCACATGCAACTTGATTTTCCACAATATACATTATATTGCTAAAAGTATTGGGACACCCCTCCAAGTCTTTGGGTTCAGGTGTTCCAATCACCTCCATGGCCACAGGTGTATAAAATCAAGCACTTAGGCATGCAGACTGCTCTACAAACATTTGTGAAAGAATGGGTCGCTCTCAGGAGCTCAGCGACTCCAAGCATGGTACCGTGATAGGTTGTCACCTGTGCAATAAGTCCATCCGTGAAATTTCTTTGCTACAAAATATTCCACAGTCAACTGTTAGTGGTATTAAACAAAGTGGAAGCAACTGGGAACAACAGCAACTCAGCCACGAAGTGATAAACCACGTAAAATGACCGAGCGGCGTCAGCCCATGCTGAAGTGCGCGGAAGTCACCAACTCTGCAGTCAATTGCTAAAGACCTCCAAACTTCATGTGGCCTTCAGATTAGTACAACAGTGCATAGATAGCTTCATAGAATGGGTTTCCATGGCCGAGCAGCTGCATCCAAGCCTTACATCACCAAGTGCAATGCACTGATGCAGTGGTGTATAGCATGCTGCCACTGGACTCTAGAGCAGTGGAGACTTGTTCTCTGGGATAACAAATTGCGCTTCTTTGTCTGGCAATCCAATGGATGTGTCTGGGTTTGGCGGTTGCCAGGAGAACGGTATTTGTCTGACTGCATTGTGCCAAGTGTAAAGTTTGGTGGAGGGGGGATTATGGTGTGGGGTGGTTTTTCAGGGGTTGGGCTTGGCCCCTTAGTTCTAATGAAGGGAACTCTTACGGTGTCGCATACCAAGACATTTTGGACAATTTCACGCTCCCAACTTTGTGGGATCAGTTTGGGGATGGCCCCTTCCTGTTCCAAAATGACTGCACACCAGTGTACAAAGCAAGGTCCATAAAGACATGGAAGAGTGAGTTTGGGGTGGAGGAACTTGACTGGCCTGCCTGTCCTGACCTCAACCCAACATGACCCCTTTGGGATGAATTAGAACAGAGACTGTGAGCCAGGCTTCTCTTCCGACATCAGTGCCTGACCTCACAAATGTACTTCTGGAAGAATGGTCAAACCTTCCCATAGACACCCTCCTAAACCTTGTGGACGGCCTTCCCAGAAGAGTTGAAGCTGTTATAGCTGCAAAGGGTGGGCCAACTCAATATTGAACCCTACGGACTAAGACTGGGATGCCATTAAAGTTCATGTCTGTGTAAAGGCAGGCACCCCAATTTTGGCAATTAGTGTATTTGTTGTCACCAGTGCCTTCCGATTTATTGCGTTTTGCAGTGCATTTGTATTGGCTTATTATTTTAAGCTTAGAAAAAAAAATATCTAGCAAGTTTAAAATGTTAGATATGTGGACTTGTGTACCAAATGAAAAGCAGTGTAAGTGTTTAATATTGTACCAGATTAGCCAGATGCATGAGAAACTGCACAACTGCAGCAGTGTGTGTAGTCAGGAGTCCCTCTGGACTTTATTGATTTTGTCTTTTGTTATGACTGTTTTCAGAGAATATGGTTGGGAATCATGACGCCCCCATTCGTTGTGTTGAGTTCTGCCCGGAGGTAAATGTTATGGTTACTGGGAGCTGGGACCAGACGGTGAAATTATGGGACCCGCGGACTCCATGCAATGCCGGAACCTTCTCTCAGCCAGATAAGGTGTGTACCAATTGTATGTAACCGTTAGGCACCACAGATCTCCCCAGCATTGTCTGAGTTATACACAGGGCGTCACCCTACACTAAACTTGTCTGTGAAGTTGTGCTGCACAGCAGCGTCCCCTCCACGTTATGAAGTGCAGTTTAGAGCACTGCTAAAAGCAATTGTTTCTTGTGCGGACCTCACATAAGATTATAGTGCTAGCATTTAAGTTATTACATCCTTTTCTCCTTCATATTTTCCACTAAGTTCCCGTGTCAAGATGAAGCAGGAAAGCTTTTCCTTCCAGTAAATCAACACAGCACTTCTGTGCCTGTGCTTCCCCTTAAATATACCGGCCAGTTTGGAGGCATCATTACCGGCTCGGCACTCCATCTAAATGGCCGTCATTTTTACCCCATCACGACTGAATCTACTTCTGGCGAGACCTTTGTGCAGGGCAGAATAATTGCATTGTTTCTCGGTTTGATTTATGGGTGTATGTGGCCAGTAAAAGCCTGTGATGAATAGCTGACAGGACAGCACATAATAGACAGCCACTGGGAAGCCGCCTACCTATTGGCGCGGACAGCTTGGCATGTCAGGGTTTTTCATAGGGATTTTTTTTTTTCCTCCATACTGATAAATGTGTCCACCCACTCGGTTGCTTGACATGCCGGTTTGGGGTGATTGATGAGCCCGCTGGCCAGAAAGACTACTTCCAATCCAGGTGTGACACCAGTTTGTAAAGAAGATTTAGGATTCTCAGCAAGATTGTTTCATTAGGCCTGTTCTTTTTTTTTTTTTTTTTTTTTTTTTTTTTTTTTTCTTTCCCCTCCATGCGTGCTTTAGCTGCAGTATGTCTTGGTAATGGTAGCAGAAGTCGTACCTGTAGCATTAGTGTAAAGTGGCTGCCGCAGCTGCCCTCATTTATAATTTTACTCCAATTCTCTGTGGTGTTGGACCAGTGTAACTTTTTCCTTTCTGCATTTGTGTATGAAACTCTGTAACGGGAACCTCATTACCTTTTAAGTATTCTATATCCCTTCATTTGTTCTGCAGTGCCAGCCTTTTCCTAAACCGCCTGGCTTTTCTGACATTAAAAGTTAACCTGTCTTTACATTTTAAAGTGGAACTAAAACCACCACCGTTTTCCCAAAAGAAACCTCAAGTTGGAAAAGTTAAAAAAATGTTGTTTAATTTTTAACCAAGCATACCTTAGAACATTTGCAATATGTGTACATTTAAAGTATATTTCCACTTTTGTAGTCCAATTTGAGAAAACTGTCAGCACACTACAGTCATAACACAGATCCCTCATAAACACAGAAAACAAAGTGCATTTCTTTTCTATGCTGGAATTTCCAGAAAAGAGTATAAAAGTTTTACCGTTCTGATGTGTGAATGGGAACAGGTAACATATATAGAAGGTGTTATTCCAAATTGGCTTCAAAATGGAATTGGAATTAAGGCATACCTCTGTCAACTGTCACAATTGTCAATATGCTTATGTCAGCCATCAACTGAGCTTTCAGGTTTGTTCACACCATGATGCAGAGACGTCAGTTTTTCTGCACGCATACTGCAAGGGCACAACAAAATCATTTGTTCTCCATGTGCCCTGTTCACACCACAGCACTGGTGTCACGTGCAAAATGTTTTTGCAATTGAAATCAGCATGTCAGTTTCCAGTTTTTTTGCACGTATGGTGTGAACACGACGTTAAGCCTTCAAATGGCTGGTGACCTGTGCAGCACTGTGGTAACTGCAGAGCCAAATAGTGTCTGAGATAGCACCCTCTTCAGCGGATAGAATGCTTCAGTTAATAAACTGCCAGCAGCCATGAGAAGCATATAGGCTGAGCACTGTATTCATAAATTTAGCATAAACTCACCAAAACTGTTATTTTAGTAAGAACTACAAGCTCTTTTGCTTATTAGATCCCCATGGCCCTAACAGTCACACGTGAAAATAAACCTAAAAGAAAAACATGTTTACTTTACCCCAATTTGCACTTTAATAAGACTGACCCTACGGCAGGCCGTACATGATTTATTTCAGCAGGTTGAACGAAAGAAAATGAATTCATTCCCCACCCACACATTCGAGGTGGATGGGGAAATCCCTTCCACAGCTGGGGAGCCTTCAGCGGTGGCACTTATCAAGTGAAAATTTTCCAAAAGGCTGGTTGTACAGGAGTCGGATCGAGAGATCAACTTCTGTACAACCAGCCTTCCTATAGATGGATCATAATACAACAGGCCCTACTGAGCCAGCTGAATTTCTATTCACCTGTGGCTGGCTTAAATGTGTTTGGTTATATTTTAGAGATTCAGCTGCTTCTGAGTTTCAAACCATGCCTCAGTTTCCATTTCTTGATTGGGTCAGTGGGTAGCCCCCCCCCCCCCCCCCTTCTTATTTACATTTTCTACTCCTCTCCCCATCCTGTAGACCCATCACTCCGCCTTAACCCAAAGCCCCACCTATCCCATATTTTCTATTTTAATGGTTTTTATTAATTTTTTAAACAGTATAAAACAAAGGCAATAAAACACGCCCATGCAGGGGCTATCAATTGCACAGATAAACAAAATGCAAAATAAAAAAAAAAGGAAAAAATAGTGCTCTAACGCCAACAGGGCAAAAGGTACGCCCACGCAGGGGCTATCAATGGCACATAAGTTACAAAATATTAATGTAACTGACTATAACAACTAAATGCAGCTGTCCAGTCACACCAAAAACAGAGAGAGAGCGAAAAAGGAAGAAAGAGGAGGAGAAGAAAAAAAAAAGGGGCCTATCCCATATTTTGACACTCCTACAGTGCTGCAGGCGAAGACACCCCTCTCCTTTGTTCCCATTAAATAAGGAGAATTTGGGCAAAATAAGGAAACCGCAAGTGGCATTCTAAAATGTTTATTGTACTTGATCACTGAATGTTTGATGACCATGTAAATTTCTTTGTCTTTTCACTTTGGAACACACAAACCTCACTTGATATGTCTTGTGTAACTGTCTCGTGTTTTTGTTGTACTCTCTAAATCAAGAATCTATAAAAGAGATACATTTCCTTTTCTGCCTCAGATATAAAGCAGAGTAAAGCCTTTCTAAAACAGAACGTATCTGCATGTCTTACATCTGTCAAAGCAATATGGGGTTTACTTATAATTATTACATGGTACACAGATACAGCCTGTTTAAATGATGGTGATTTATTCCAAGCTACATATGGCTGTTTCCAGCGTTTTGGCCATCATCAGTGCAATTTATGTAAACAAAGCTTTTCTAGAATAGGCCTAGGGATTCAGTTTAACAATATAAATAGACAGTGGTGGGATAAAAAGAACCAAATAACCACCCATTAAATCAATAGGAATACCGGTAAATTATTAAGCTGGTACCATTCTGTACTGTATAAGAAGTCATAGTTTCTATAAACTGTACTAAGTAACTGTTTACTAGGTTTCAGTGACTACAATCCCACTGACATGTTGGTAGCTTTTTTTTTTCATATTGATATTCATATTCATATATTTCATATTCATATCACGACTCGACTACTGCAACTCCCTCCTCACTGGCCTGCCTCGCCGCTGGCTATCCCCGCTTCAGTCCATCCTGAATACGGCTGCCAGACTCATTCACCTTTCCAACCGCTCCGTTTCCGCCACCCCCCTCTGCCAATCCCTCCACTGGCTTCCGATTGCGCAACGGATCAAATTTAAAATCCTAACACTGACGTACAAAGCTGTCCACCATACTGCCCCGAACTACATCACTGACCTAATATCCAAGTACTGCCCAGCACGCACACTCCGCTCCTCACAAGACCTCCTTCTCTCTAGTTCCCTGGTCTCCTCCTCCCATGCCCGCCTCCAGGACTTCTCCAGGGTGTCACCCATCCTCTGGAACTCCCTGCCCCAACCCATCAGATTATCACCTACTCTCCTCTCCTTTAGGCGCACCCTGAAAACCCATCTCTTCAGGGAAGCCTACCCCGCCCCCTGCTAACTTGCCGACCTCCTCCACTCTTCCTACCACTCCATCCCCCACAGCTATCTCCTCCTGTGCCACCATCCCCTCCCTCCTAGATTGTAAGCTTGAAAGAGCAGGGCCCTCGATCCCCTCATGTTTTGCATTGTATTGGTATTGTTCTGTCACATGTTCTGTCTCCCTTTGTAAGGTACAGCGCTGAGCAAACTATTGGCGCTTTATAAATACTGTATAATAATAATAATATTGCCTTCATCAGAGTTTGTAAAAGTAACTTTTTTCTTTTTCTCCTACTAGGTGTATACACTGTCTGTGTCTGGGGACAGGCTAATTGTGGGTACAGCTGGCCGAAGGGTGCTGGTGTGGGATCTGAGGAACATGGGTTACGTACAACAGAGGCGTGAATCAAGTCTTAAGTACCAAACACGCTGTATCAGAGCTTTCCCAAATAAACAGGTAATTCAGACACTTCACTAACAATTCAGGTAAAACACTTGTACCATGGTCAAGATACAGGCAAGTGAAAAGGATTTTGTGACTGCCAGCTTAAGCGGCTGACTGATAACAGGTTGCTTTTACAAAACCAAGGCTCTTTGTTTCACAATAGAACCTCACTTGAAACCTCCAGCACAGGGTTTTCCTCTCCCTGCATATAAGACTTTTTGTTCTTTATCATTGCCCCAGGCAGGGAAAACAGATCGATGTGGTCACCTCACTGATTGGCTTTGTGCAGTGGGATTCTTCTCTTCATTACAACTTGTTAATTAAATGTCTCAAACTTGAAAGTGAATACAGCTGTGGCTTTATTATTAAGCAAATCCTTGAAGACAGTTTAGCAGGGATCACTTCCTGATTGAAATAAACGCTGATGGGTCTAATTGCCACCTTGTCACACTAGGGCTATGTGCTGAGCTCCATCGAAGGAAGAGTTGCCGTTGAGTATTTGGACCCGAGCTTGGAAGTTCAGAAGAAAAAATACGCCTTCAAATGTCACCGATTGAAAGAGAACAACATTGAGCAAATCTATCCAGTCAATGCAGTTTCCTTCCACAGTGTACACAACACCTTTGCCACAGGTTAGTGTATAATCTCTGCTTGTATAGAAATGGCATAAACATGTGCTGAGAGCAGAACTCCAGATATAAAAACATATGTAAAATACCAGTGTGTATCGCATGTTTGTATATCTATACTGTAGTGAATACTTTTACAAATGTAAATGCTTTTATAGCTTTTTCCTACTTTTGTGTTGGTGATAATTCTAAATTTATAGCTAAACTGTGATAGGGGCTGGTGCTGGAGACAGTTGGCAGTGGCTGAAGCTTGTGGATTGTACTCAATTTGTCAAATAAGATGCTATTTCAATTCTTCACTCTGGACAAATGGCTGAATACAAATTTTAAATTAATTTATGTGAACGGTTTTACTCAGCAAAGAGATTGTAATATTTGCTCAGTCTTGTAATGCAGCCTACACAGCCAGATCATGCTGTTATCTCTGCAGGTTACAGTGCATTTAAACAATACAGCCTGGTCTAGGACCCACCCCAGACATGAAAAGGAGCAGCAAATTGAATATATCCTGTTTTTGCCCTCCTTTTCTGGGAACTTGCCTTTGCAGAGCAAAAAGGCTCTAGTTGGCTTCCCCTCCCAGTATCTAAAATCACATAATCTTTAATGTTAGTCATTTTTTTTTTTTTTGCCTTGAAGGCCATGTATAGGCACTTATGTTATAGGACAAAAAGGTTCTGCCACGTCTCTAGATTGTTCTCTTGTGTTGTCACTGTGTCACATGATCTGCCAATGGCAGACTGCATGTGGCTGTAGTGACCCATATTACACAGGCATTTTCTGCTAATAGGCCACAGGAGATTAGTAGTGTTGATATGCAACAAAGGATGAAATAAAGTGGAAACAGTATTTTATTTAATCACTTGACCTCCAGAGGATTTACCCCCCCTTCCTGACCAGGTCATATTTTGCGATACGTCGCTGCGTTACTTAAACTGACAATTGCGCGGTCATGCAATGCTGTACATAAATGATTTTTAAATTTTTTTCCCCACAAATAGAGCTTTCTTTCGGTAGTATTTGATCACTTTTTTTTGTGCTATAAACAAAAAAGACTGACCAATTTTGAAAAACAAACATGATTTTGAATTTTTGCTATAAAACATATCCAATAAAAATAAAAAAAAAAATCTAATTTTTTTCATAAATTTTAGGCCGAAATGTATTCCGCTACATATTTTTGCTAGAAACCCCCCCCCCCCCCCCCCCCCCCCCCCCCCCCCCCCCCAAGAGTGTATATTAATTGGTTTATGTGAAAGTTATAGCGGGTACAAATGGCGGTACATATACTGGATTTTTTTTTTTTTTTTTTTAATACTAGTAATGGTGGCTTATAGCGGGACTGCGGTGGGCATTCTGACACTGGGTGGAAACTGACTAATGGCCATTGACATCCCCAGTGACTCTGATACAGTGATCAGTGCGAATAAAAAGCACTGGCACTGTACTAATGACACTGGGCAGGAAGGGGTTAACATCTGGGGTGATCAAAGGGTTAACCCCGTGCTGTGTGGGTTTTTACATTGTGGGCTGTGTTGTGTTTTACTATAGAGGCATTCTGCTTTGTATCTCTCTGCTGTGCAGTGAGATACAAACCAGCATGTCCATTCTGATAGGAGAGAGATCTGTGTTGTTTACAAACAGATATCTCCCCTCTCAGCTTTGCCGACGATCGAGTCCTGGCTGGGAAACTCCGGCCAGGACCTGGTGACTGACATCCCCAGCAGCCAATAGAGGCGCAGGTAGGGCGCTCACGCACCCCCTTACCCGGAAGTGCAAATCATGTATGTATATATACGATTTTGTGCAGCCGTGCCACCCTGCAGCAGTACTTCTGCTATAGGGTGGAGGACAACTGGTAAAAGGCCATCATTTCTGATACACAGTGATGCACAATGCTGCAGCACACTAAATGTCATTCAGTTAGGGTTTACATCCACTGTAATGTTTGTAATTATTAATTAATGATGCCCCAGTTATAACTAAAACAGCAATAGGCCTAAGTATCAGGCACAGAGTAGCAAAAGAGGTTGCTAACTAATGCGTGCTACCCCTGCAGGAGTCTGTGCTGCCTTTGATCACTATGTCAGGGTAGAGGGCTGCCGCCTTCTGTAGTAAAGTGGAAACGGATGGTCTCCTGTGGCCTATACGGTGCTCCTAGGCAAAGCCAGGCAGTTGGACTTCTGGTCAGAGAGATTTGAGATTATATTTTGAGAGAGAAAGATTTATGCTGGCAAAAATGTGTGGCAAGCCAGTGTGTTGACTAAAGAATCCATTGTTCTTTGATACTCTATGTACCTCAGTCCTTTTCACTCTTAAGTCCAGTAAAGGCCTTTCCTAGAAGTAAGTGTTTGCATTCTCTTTTCACCCTGCAGGTGGCTCAGATGGCTTTGTCAATATTTGGGATCCTTTCAACAAAAAACGCCTGTGCCAATTCCACCGCTACCCGACCAGCATCGCCTCCCTGGCCTTCAGCAACGACGGCAGTACTCTGGCAATTGCTGCCTCCTACATGTACGAAATGGATGACATTGAACACCCTGAAGATGGTATCTTCATACGGCAAGTGACAGACGCTGAGACAAAGCCCAAGTGAGGCAGCGTCACCTGCCTTCCCTCCCCCTGCACCAAGATTTTTTATTAATTTTCCTTTGCCTCATGAATAGCGTTATTGATGGTAAAGACAGATAAGTATGGCTGACTGTAGGGCTGGGGGAGATTTTATCACATCCTCCCAAGCTTTCAATATCCGTCAGTTGATAGACGTCTGACAGATAAAATTATACTCAGTTGTTTTATACAGAAGCGTGTCGACCTCCTCTGCATTTCTTGCCCTTCATTATCGGAGGACTTCTTACTGTTGACTTTGCTTCAGATCTACTGAGGAGACGGCTGTTGGTTAGTCCTTATATTGCCTCATGTCTTGTCACTTTCTTTGTTCTTATGTCTTTTATTTGTATGTGAAGTTAATTTCCCTGTCAGGATTGTAAGTCTCTTTTTTGTTTTGTGTAAATAAGCTTTTTCACACAAATAATAAATACAAGCTAGAACCTTTTGTGTTGAATTTTTAGTGTGTGTGCTTATAGCAGTATCTTCTGCAATGTGAAGCAAAGTGATAATCTCTTCCATGGACAATATTTTATTTGGAATTCAAGTAGTGTTGGTGTATAGATGCTGAAGGAAATAAAAATGGAAGAAGTGTGTCACTGTAACAGCTTATATTACAGAGGGCACATAGACGTGGGCTGCAACCAGCGGTGTTACAGAGGGCACTTAAATGAACACAGACTCCAAAAAGCTATAGTACAGAGGGCACATATACAGACGTGTCTCCAACAGGCTATAATAACGAGGATATATAACCAATCATGGGTTCCAACAGGCTATCGTACAGAAGGCACATGTACAGACATGGGCTCCAACAGGCTATAATAACGAGGACATATAACCAATCATGGGTTCCAACAGGCTATTGTACAGAAGGCACATGTACAGACGTGGGCTCCAACAGGCTATAATACCGAGGACATATAACCAATCATGGGTTCCAACAGGCTGTCGTACAGAGGGCACATGTACAGGCGTGGGCTCCAGTAGGCTATAGTACAGAGAACATATAACCAATCATGGGTTCCAACAGGCTATCGTACAGAAGGCACATGTGCAGACGTAGGCTATAGTACAGAGAACATATAACCAATAATGGGTTCCAACAGGCTATCGTACAGAAGGCACATGTACAGACGTGGGCTCCAGCAGGCTATAATAACGAGGACATATAACCAATCATGGGTTCCAACAGGCTATCGTACAGAAGGCACATGTACAGGTGTGGGCTCCAACAGGCTATAATACCGAGGATATATAACCAATCATGGGTTCCAACAGGCTATCGTACAGAGGGCACATGTACAGGCGTGGGCTCCAGTAGGCTATAGTACAGAGAACATATAACCAATAATGGGTTCCAACAGGCTATCGTACAGAGGGCACATGTACAGGCGTGGGCTCCAGTAGGCTATAGTACAGAGAACATATAACCAATCATGGGTTCCGACAGGCTATCGTACAGAAGGCACATGTACAGGCGTGGGCTCCAGTAGGCTATAGTACAGAGAACATATAACCAATCATGGGTTCCAACAGGCTATCGTACAGAAGGCACATGTACAGACGTGGGCTCCAGTAGGCTATAGTACAGAGAACATATAACCAATCATGGGTTCCAACAGGCTATCGTACAGAAGGCACATGTACAGACGTGGGCTCCAGTAGGCTATAGTACAGAGAACATATAACCAATCATGGGTTCCAACAGGCTATCGTACAGAAGGCACATGTAACAGACGTGGGCTCCAGTAGGCTATATACAGAGAACATATAACCAATCATGGGTTCCAACAGGCTATCGTACAGAAGGCACATGTACAGACGTGGGCTCCAGTAGGCTATAGTACAGAGAACATATAACCAATCATGGGTTCCAACAGGCTATCGTACAGAAGGTACATTTACAGACGTGGGCTCCAAGCAGGCTATAATAACGAGGACATATAACCAATCATGGGTTCCAACAGGCTATCGTACAGAAGGCACATATACAGACGTGGGCTCCAGCAGGCTATAGTACAGAGGGCACGTAAGCAGAAATGGGCTTCAACAAGCTATATTACAGCGGGTACAAAACTGGTCATGGACTGCAACAGGTTATTTACATAAAGTGCATAAATGGGCTGGGGCTCCAACAGGCTATAGTACAGAGCGCACATAAATGCCAACATAATACTAGAATAAGAGATTTAATAACATGGCTTTGAAGTGTGTATTTTTTTTTTTTTTCCCTAATTAAAAATGCTCGTGTGTCTGCACTTTCAACATTTAAGTTTTTACAATTTTCGAAAGTGTAACAACGCAAACCTTTTTTTTTTTCTCTTGCATAGGATTAAATTGACAATTGTCATAACAATCAAAGCTGTTGGGCAGCAAACGGTTTTGGCTTTTGGATGGAGTGGAGAGGGATTAGAAAAACTGCCAGATTTAATTGCTGTCTGTGTCCCCATTAGGGAGATTGACCTTTTCTTTTTGTTCTGTGTACCAGTATCACCGAAAGTAAAATAAAATGCCAAAGATTGAGTTGACACCAGGACAGTAATAGAGGGGAAATCTTCCAAAGGGGGACAAAGCAAGTGAAATCTCCATATGGGACACAGATGACCGTAAACCTGATGTGTTCCTCTACTGTCCCCAAAATGGCGGGTGGGGTGGAGTTTGCTTTTAGTTACACTTTAATGAACACTAAAAGAGATTTAAAAAAAAAAAAAAAAAAAGCTTTTGTCACGTATGGCCAGCATTGTAGACTCTGCAGCCTACAAGACAGGTGTAAGCCCTAAGATGAGCTGATGTGCAGAGTGTTAGGTGCCACTTGGTATTCACCAGCAAACCCAAGGAGGAGTGATGGCTATGAGGCCTTGATCAATAACTGGGGAGGCAGGAACATGGGATCACGAGTGCACAGGAGTGTAGGGCTTAATGGAGGCATAGAGTGCAGAAGATGCTGGAGTTGCATGAGGGTAAAATGGTTAAGAATAACCTATTTCTACTATATTGGAGCTTAAAATATGAAATATGAGCTTTCTAGTTCAGGGTACAATACAGCCTCCAAGGCCCTAGTCTCACAACACTAATCCTTTTTTTGCTTTACAGCGAATTGAACTTATTTTTGTGTTTTTTGCTTTATAGCAATAACCATTATTTTCCAAAAAAACCCTATTGCTTAGGCCACAGATGATCTGAATGCAGCTTAACCACTTGCCCTCCAGAGGATTTACCCCCCTTCCTGACCAGGCCATTTTTTTTTCAATACGGCACTGCATTACTTTAACTGACAATTGTGCGCTCATGCAACGCTGCCCCCAAATTAAATTTACTTCCTTTCAGTGTTATTTTATCTCTTGTGCGGGTTTTTTCTTTTTTGCGCTATAAAAAAAAACCTGACAATTGTGAGACAAAAAACAATATTTTTGACTTTTTGCTATTAAACATGTCCAGTAAAAAAATTTAAAAGATCAAATTTTGTCGTAAATTTAGACCAAAATGTATTCTGCTACATATCTTTTGCTAAAAAAAAAAGATAATCTCAATACGTGTAAATTAATTGGTTTACGTGAAAGTTATAGCATCTACAGCAGGCGGTATATATACTGGAATTGATTTTTTTTTTTTATATAGTAATGGCGATCAGCGACTTATTGTAGGACTGCGGTGGGCATTTTGATACTGGGGGGGAACTGCCACTGACATCCCCAGTGACACAAATACAGTGATCAGTGCTAATAAAAAGCACTGACACAGTACTAATGACACTGGGCAGGAAGGGGTTAACATCTGGGGTGATCAAAGGGTTAGCTGTGCTGTGTGTGTGCTTTACACTGTAAGCACACTGCTTTGTATGGCTCTGTGATTTTGTGCACACCTGCCGCCCTGTAGAACTATTTCTGCTATAGGGCTGAGGGGAAGCGGTTAAAGAGGGAGAGGTAGATTTGACAGGCTGGACAAGGGACTGGCCAAGTAGTTGCATATATCAGCTGGTGTAATGCAGTGACACCTATAGCTTCTACACCAGTGCAGCAGCAAGGTAGGAGAAACACGTTTGTAAAACTACAAGTAACAGATCAGCTTTGCATGTTTGTAAACAAAAAGATGACATCAGGGGGTTTATTTACTAAAGCTGGAGAGTCCAAAATCAGACTCCCTTCTGCATAGAAGCCAATCAGCTTCTAACCTCAGCTTGTTCAATGAAGCTTTGGCAATGAAACCTGGAAGCTGATTGGTTTCTATGCAGAAGGGAGTCTGATTTTGGACTCTCCAGCTTTAGTAAGAAACCCCCAGCTGTCCTGAGACGAGCATTCCTAGGGAGGCAGTGATCTCTGCAGAAGTCCTACACACACTATACCAAGTTTTCTGGCTCTGATTTAGAAAAGGAAATATTGGGATCTCTGCTTCTCCCCCACAGTGAGAAAAGGCCCCACTCTGCAGCTCTCTGGCAGGGGACAATCTTTTCTTTCCAGGCTGTGGCTGATTTCTAAAGAAAACAAGTTGTAGGAGTTTAGCCACCTTTTTGTTTTGATGCTCCTGGAATGTATTTAACTTGTTTACTGATTACTGCCTAGCATACACATATAAACATCTTGAGCAACAAATGATTATACCAGCATCATCGCTGCTACTGGTACTGTTTTTTTTCAAAGCCAGCGATCTGCTTTCCTGTAAGGCCCTTTTGCACACTGCAGCTCAAGGAAGCTGCTCCTACAGAAGTTTGAGCTGTTTTGAGCTTTTATTTCCCTTCCATGTGTCCACTATATGTCCATTCAGGAGTTTACAGGCAGAAGAAAAAAACAGCTCACGTGCGTTCAGGAGAGGAACTTCTGAGCAAAAAAAAAAAAAAAAAAACGCTGCAAAGTGAAAAAATGCTAATTAGTGCATGTTAACATGTACCGATGCAAGGCGGGTTGATGTATTCTAATGGCCAGAATTCTGCCAAATAGAACGCATTTACATTCAAAAACATGGCTTTCTAATACATTTTTGATGCTGAAA